TTTAAAAAATCCTGTTTAAACTCATTTTTTTTGAAAAATCAGTTGAGATCCGCCCCCCATTTTTTTTTAGAAAAGTGAAACCCCTTTAAAATGAAAATCTGCCCATTCTCATTTTCAAACCCCGAGCTGTTCTAGGGCTCTGCCACATGTTCTCTGTCTTACTCTTTCAGTTTTCCATGAAAGGCCCCAATACTGTAGGACTGCCTCTAGTTCCTGAAATCAGCCCATTGTTGGGAATGTTTTTAGAAACCCTGAGAAATGCCGCTTGTTTTTGCGTGGGGGTGGGGGTGGGCGGGCGAAGGACTGTTGCTTTTGTTGTGTCTGAGTTGGTGCAGTTTATAGTAACTCTGCAAACATTAGCATGAAAAGGATGTCCCTGTAGAAGCAATGAGGCATGAAATCCCAGTGTTCCTTTACGCAGTAACAACAGCCACATGAAAGAGGAACATGCAATATGTCACTGTATATATAATTACACTGCCCCGGGCACTGGTAGCAAAGGAACTGGGAAGGCTTTCTTTTCGAACGAATGAGACACGCGCGCGGAGACACACGCACGTTTCGGAGTTTCTCCTCGCTTGTCCGTTGATTGCACACGTCCCTCCCTTTTCGCGCGCGCGTTCACTTCATTCCACACATAGGTACTTCAGTCTTAACGATTTTCACGGGCGCGCACCCGTGGCTACGCTTCACCCTCCTTCACAGACCCAGCGTTTCTCCACTTCAGCTGCACCCATGGGGTCTCTCTCGCATTCACCACCCACACTGGCCGTGACGCGTTCCTCCCTTCGAGGAGTTCGCAAGCCTGCAAGCAATTCTCACTTTCTGAAGGCGTTTCCCGGTCTTCACGCCCGTAGCACCGTTACAAAATGCAAAGCGCACGCGCTCACACAGAGAGAGAGAGCTTTGGACACAAGCGCTGCTCGCTTTTAACTTATTGCGCACCTGTGCCGCTCCTTTCCTCAGGAAGCGCCCAGAGCCTTTTCGCTTCTTTTTCCCTTGCAGGATTCTTCGTGGATGGGGGACGTTCCGGAGCACCAATGCCGGAAGTTGCTGGCGCGCCCAACCCCCCCCCCCCCCCAAATAACCGGAGCAGAAAAGTGCTGGGCGCGCGCTGCCCTGCAAAGGTGCTCGCTTGGGAAAGCAGCGCTTGTTCGTGGGCGCCAAAAAGAGCCGGCGACCTGCGCGCGCACTACTTTGCCTACCTCTCAGAGGAATTCGCCCGAGTCTGGGCACCACCCCCCATATATAGGGTTAGTGGTCTGGTGCGAGCGACTTTCCCAGAGACAGCTGGTGGGGAATTCCTCTCAGAAGAACACTGTATTCCTCTCTGCGCACTATACACGTATCTCTCAGTTTGCGTGTTTATACTATGGACCCACAGTCCCACACAGACAAATTGAGAGAGATGCATGTATGTATAGTATATACACAGAGAGAAGAGAGACGGAGTAAATACATGGGTCTATCGAAGCCGTTCGCCACATACGGCACGGTTCCGCCTGGCATCCAATAGGGACAAATTAAACTCGCCATAAATCGCCGTTTCGATGCTTTCTCTCCTGCAGGTCGTGGCGGTTCACGTTGGTTCGTCTTAACGGAGGATATGGTATGACTTGTTTTTTGGTCCTCCTCTTAGGAACTCCTCAAAACCCAACAATTTAATGTCTTGGGAATGAGAACAATGTCTATATCTTGTTCTCCCAATCAAAAAGATTTTATATTGGCATATTTATGCTTTATACTATATCCCTCCCACTTGTTCTCTGGGTAGTGGATAAGTGGTTTTTTTATCCTCACATCAACCCTACGAGGAAGGTTACGACGAGAATAACTGGACAAAGTAGCCCATCGAGCTTCGTGCACTGAGAAAGCATTGGACATCTTCAGACCTCCCTCAATCCAGGCTCCTTCTGGCGTTTGCAAGCCCCACAAAGCCGGCGAACACCTGGAATGTTGGGACTTGAAACAGTGTGCGCTTCCTTTCCCGCCCACGGCAGCAGGAGGAGACATTTCACACATGCTAAATAATGCAGTTTCAGTCCACTTCAGTCAACGTTTACAGGTTGATCTTTCCATTTCACACAGTGGCTTTGTTGTCACATCTCATAAAAACGAGAAAGAAAAGTAACTAGGCAGGCGGCCTAAAAGGAACAGTGAAGAAAACCCTCCCCCCCATACATTACAGAGAAAGAAAGGGTGAGGGGGGCAAGTAATTATCCGCAAGAAGACAAGGACGGGGGACACTACCCCCCCCCCCCCCAGCACCGTGGTCGGAGGGGATGGAAGGAACAGCGAATGGATTTTGTTCCCTTGCATCCTAGAGGTTGACTCCAAAGGATTTTTTGTCCCCGCGCAGCCCCCCACCCCCTCCCCGCGTCTACCTGCCTCCCCTC